GAAACTTTCTGCCTCGACTGGAGTCGAAAGTCTCAGATCTTAGTCAGCTAAGGAGGAGAGGGAGGGCACACTAAACGAGGAACACATGTTTAAGTAAAGAAATTTATTGAAATAACCGTGAACATTTCGAAATTCACAAACAAGAAAAAGCCAACTTTGTACAATCAGGACAAAAATCTTGCCAGAAAACAGTACAATCAGATCGAAGACAGCTCTTGGCAGCGCCCTAGTTTCGAATCGCACATTAGAAACCACAATCAACAAGGACATTACACACAAGGATCAAGAACGATTGACATCTAAATCGAGGCCTGGCTTTTTTCTTTTACAACACTACAGAAATTTAGCACAGTAAACAACGTTGGGATGTTGTATTGACAAAATTGAAAAATTTTCTTAACAAAATGGAAAAATGCTATCAACAGAAAATGCTATGTTTAAGCAATAAATAGCCCGATCAAAATTAAATTAATTCAACTTCTGATAAATACTAAGACGAAAAAAAGCTTACAGTTCGTTTTAAGTCTTGCAGTGCCGGTCAAACGTTGGCCACGCCATCTTCACGCGTCCGCCAACTCCTCCAGTCTTAATAAAACGCCATGTGGTGGAGAAGCTGTTTCAGTCATAGTTTCAGTAGAACGCAAAAAAAGTAACCAGCCAAAGTCCGTCGAAGAAAATTCAGATCCAAAGCAAACATAGACTAACGTAAATGTTCAAAAAGTTTGATGCTATAGTCAACTGAACGATTGAAATGTCGGTAGGTGTGGCCGGCAGCTGATTCTAAACTTTTCAAGCGGAAGAATTACTTGAGAGTGGCAAACAGGAGAGCAACGGCCATCGCCAAAACGGATGGAGCGAAGTTAACTGAAGAACTTGTTGGTCCAGTGGTCGAACTTTCGGGCGACGCATGGGTAGCTGAGGCAGATGGAGCAGCAGCGACTGAAGTGGAATTCATTGAGGAAGCTGGCATGACAGAAGTTGAGGGAGCAGGCGTCATTGACGTCGTTGCACTGGTGTAAGCCATAAACACAGCGAAAAGGACGACAGCAAAGGAAAACTCTAAGTACTTCATTCTTGCTTTCAGGTGATAAGAATTGGCTCAAAAATTATCTCTTAGGACAGCCTCAACAACAAGACACACCGCTTCTAGTTTTAGCCACAGCAAAGTACGGGAAGGTAAGCCCACCTTCGCATAAAATACTGCGTAAGTGACAGGACGTCATCACTTCTCACCTTCTGATTGGCTAATTTAAAACTACCAACGAATAGGAACTTTGCTTGCACGTGTTACTCACGCGGTGGGCCTCGATTTGGAAACGCGGCAGATGGACTGAAAGTGAAAATGGCGACACTGCTGATTGCCAAGGAGTATGGCTACGTTGTTCTTACCACTGTTTCGTCTGGGTTTTTAATGACCTACCTGGCGATGAACGTGGGGAAAGCAAGGAAGAAATATCGTGTTTTCGTACGTAGACTAGTTTATTGTTTTACTTCGTTGGTTAACTTTGGGGAGCATACTATTTCACGTTGGTCGCTGGTACTACAGCTTCTATTTATCTGTCATAATCGAACCCTCGTGTCTTTGGCCGGCCCATGTGTTTACCTGTTAAATACATATTCATTCCCCCCCTCGCTTGCAAGTCGCAATTACATGTAGCCTACCACGTACAAAATACTGGTGAAAGTTCTCAACAACTCAGTAGATAAGTTTTATTCCCAGAAATTAAGCTAAATCCATGCTGAAAGAAAAAACTTAGAATTTCTAGAATGTGTTTCGTCATTGTCAAGCAGAGCTTAATCCAGAGTTTGTTACAACTACGTAAAGCAAAGGTGCTCTGGTGTGTGTAATAATAATTTATTTATATATTTTGTCTCAGCTATGGAATTTTCCTTACCAAATTTGGTAGTGAGCATTGTTTTCTTTGTTAGACTTGAATCTACCCACGCGGGAGATGTTTCATTTATCACTTTGTCCGAAATTAGTTTTTTCATGATATCCCAACGTTCATCGCCCTTTCCTAGGACTGTCTTACCTTGCAGGCAATCTTGCAATGTTTTTTTCTTGCTGCTGTCGTTTATGTTTTGCTTGATGCACTAAGAGTTTCATTGGGCATTGTATCTGGAACATATTTTTGATATTTGTCACCTCTAGGAATTTCTTCACCTAAAATGAATATTACATCATTTGTGCCAAAACTAAGTGCAGTAGCATAGCTCCACTATCCAAACAGAGCCCCACAGTTTCTTCTGAACTATCAAGTGTAATTTCAGTGAAAGTTTGAAAATTTGAAGTCTCAAAGGCCAAAATTTTTAAAGGAAAGTATTAACAGCAAGTGGAATTTCCAGAGGCTAGAGGGTTTCAAACAAGTAAACCCTCCGTGGGGGGAGTATGGATTTTTTCAGGAACAACACATTTTTTAGCAGAGAGTAGTATCTTTCAAGTCAAAAAGTAACTTATATAAATTAATGTTACAAAATATATTATTTAATTATTATGCCAAATTTGTTAAAAGAAATATACCAAAGGAAATTCTCTAATCTAAACTTCCACCTGGAGTTCCTTGAGTTTTCCTGAGAGAAATATTCTTTTTTTCTCTGATTCAAGAAAAAAAATCAGTTTTCATTTTTTTAAGAAACAGTATTAATAAAACTATGACATTTAATATTAGGCAAGTCTGTAAGAGTGTAATTCAAATATTAGGTAGAAAGATCATATTCTATTGATAAGTCCAATCTAATTTTGTGAAAGGTGTTTCCCCTGGGCCTGGGAATTGTGGTTTGCAAAGTTGCAGTTGATTTTTTTGTTGGCTGTCACAGTTAGAGTTTATGGGGACTTCTGAATCTCTACCAAAGTCACAGTGTAGATCTAAGTTTTAGTTTGTTGGACAAGTCCAATCAAATTGATAGAGTTGTTGCATCAGGCATTTTTCGAAGGAATGAGAGTTGAGATACAAAATGTTTGGTGTAGTTGTACTTTTATTACAATAACATTGTATTTTTGATGTAGTATTAAAATTAATACTATACAAAATACATTTTCATGCAATGTTGTACCCTGAATTTTATTGATTTGCTGCGCTGGCATTCCAATAAGCTGGTGACTCTTAAACATGTATGACTCAGTTCTAGAAAAACAGACTATTCTTGGTTCTTTACAAGAAACCTATAGATTTTTTTAAATCAAAGTGCAATATTAAGGTATTTACATGACGTATGTTCATGACGTGACCTTTCAAATATCACCTCATTGAGAATGTGCTGATTTATAACAAATTTCTTACTTTTTATTGTTAGTCCGGAATATCCCTAAATTTAAGGACAGGGCCAACTGGTCACCCACACTGTTCAACAAATGAGAAGGCCCACTTGTGTTTATCAGAACATCGACCCAGTGATAAAAAGTTTTTTTTACAATGGCAGACGGAGGCAGACAGATTTTAATATAAGCTTACAGTACTCGTCTAGGTTTCACATTATTTCAAAGAAAACATTTCATGTAAGAGAATAAGAGAATTATTCATTGCAAGGAATCGTTGGGGGCTTCGAATATTCCGGACTGATTGCAGAGGTTATGGCTTCACTGGCATGGCTTACAAGATTTTTGATAGAAGCAAACTCGTCCCGTGTGAAAATAGCCGTAGAGCCAGTGTATGAGATCGTAAAAAACAGGAATGGTACCACTTATTAATTTCTACGGGACAAGAATCAAAGAACCAGTCATCATAACAAGAACAAAAAGTCGATCAAATTTTATTAAGTTTTCTTGTTTGTTTTTTTTGTGTGTGTTCTTTCGTGTTGACTTCATGCACCTCATGCTTTCTTTACTTGCTGTCAGCTGTTGCTGTAGTACCTGCAAGGGTTTAATTTCAACCCAGATTATCAGTGTTCAATGAGTAGCAAAATACATCATTCACAGTTGAAATTTGCCTTCTTTCTTTGATTTTTTTTTAACTGTGGATAAACATATGGAGAATCCAACAGTAACACTTAACTTTCTTTCCACATTTGGTGAATTTCAGAAACAAGGCAGTTAGTATCTACCTTGTGCTTATGATCTTTAATTTTATCCTCGCAAATTCGGCAAAGTGAGGGGAGAGGTTGGACGTGAATATCTATTTTAAGACTTATAAGCTTACCTTGAAAAGAAAAAAGGCAAAGCCTTGTGTTAATGCAAAAAAAAGTAACAACACGGCTCCTAGTCAATCTGCCTTGTCTGAGTGAAACCCGGGAGTGGAATAGGTAATTGATCCGCCGTTTTCCTCAAGAACAACAGCTCCATTATGTCACAACTGTCCTTAAATTTGGGGATATTCTGGACTGATTATTATTGTTTGAATTGGTTTAACTTTTTCCGTGTATATTATTGCATATACAATTTTCTCTTTACCAAGAGACTTACTTGTACATCTTGTTTTGCATGTTGTTTGAGTCCTTTCAGCAATAATGGGCTCATTGGGTGATATGGTGTTTTCTAGGATTAAAGACTTTGTTTTTTATTTGATGGTTAGTTTTGACCGGTCAAAGCTTTCTTGTTTATTATTAGGGTGAACCTTTTACAAGGCTGTGCTCTAATGGCGCCCGGTCGCCTGAGGTGACTAACATTTAGCTTTGGGCGACTGAAAAAAGTTCCCGGTCACCTGGCCTGGCACTCTTGCTTCTGGTGCAGTGTTCAGTCAAAAGGGCAGAAAAATTTAGCATACTAGTGTTGGCTTGTTGAGTCAGAGTTTACTAAACCCTACAGAAAATGTTTTTACGAATGTGTAGGAAGGAAACGGGCACGCGTCAATGTTCAAAGGACGTTCTGCATGATTTCACGTGTAACATAATCCATCACTTTGAATGTGACAAGTGGCACGGCTTCTTGAAATAGTTTTTATTTTTTTCTTTCAGATAGAATGGTTCATTAGGTACAGTTTTTGGGAGAAACTGTCAATACTTTTCTGACAGACATAGAGCGCAGCTGGCGAAGCAGAGTAATTTATTTTTGTATAAAACGGAAGTTGCTGTATTGACCAGTATGCAAATGTCATGTTTTTATGGTTTATGACTGCTGTGTCTGCTTGGTTAAAACATAACTTATGATTGTTTTCTTCTCTTTACATAAGATAATGAAATATAAGAAGAAAAGATATGATTGTTCTGATCGTTTTTATTGTTGTTTTAGAAACAGGGCAGTTCCATGTTGTCTTGCCATTTTACATATCGAAAACTAAATTCACATGCATGCATGCAGGGCTCGACGTTGCGACCCGTGGGGTCGCCAATGCAACCAGCTTTTACTCAGTGGCGACTAAATTTTCACGCCTGGTCGCCAACCTGGCCCCCAAGATAGGTGACTTTCTTCTTTGGGTAAACGTACACTAATGATAATTTGTTATCCTTTACACAACTAACGGATAGCTAACGGTTTTTCTAATGCTCTAACGTTTTGCCCAGACGCTCTAACGGTTTGTCTAAACGTTTTAACGATCTATCTAAAGGCTTTAACGATTTCTTCCAACACTCTAATCTACGCTTACTTGAAAGAGGATTGTGAAATGAATGAATTCGACGGAAGACTTATCGACTTTCTCACTTTCGGACAAATCGATCGCAATTCTCAACAGATCGTCCCGTGTTTCTCCAGGAATGACTTTTAGCGCATCGATATTTAAAACAATTTCTTTATGTCGAACATGTATCTCGATTGCGGACTCGATAGCAGATTAGTCTGATAAAAGCTCAAGCTAATCGAGAACGAACGGCGCTTACTTCTCGAGCTTCGCAATTCTTGTAAACAGCTTCACGCAAATTTCTGTTGAGCGTGAAGACGCAAATAAAAGCTCTGCCGTATTTTATTGACTTCTAATTAAGTAAAGTTGAAGTCATGCTGTTTGTCTAACAGACTTCTCGCGAAATCAACTTCTTTGCCCGAAAATATTAGCAACGTTTCCTCTTTCTGGTCTTTCTGGAGACTTTCGATCACGTGTTAGGCAACCGCGCAATAGATGAAGTTTCACCGATGTTCAGTTCTGAACATGCAAATACATGGGACGCAAAACAAATTTTGCAGATTTTGTTCTTTCATAACCCAAATAAGTTTTTTTGTGATTCCTAAATTTTGTTTTTTTAATGTGTATTCCATTTCCTGAACCTTAAGCTTGAATACCTGTTTGAGGAGATTTACGCTTGAGTGCGGATTCATTTTACAGAACACCGGCTGGTAATCGAGCGTCGGCGAAAACCATTCGAAAGAAAGTTCAAAGGAAGTCTAAACCATTCATTTTCTGTTAAGGCTAAGTTAAAGATGTTAAGTTTATTTTATCCCATTAGTTCTTAAATAAAATTTTTGGCGACTAGAATACTTGTTCTGGCGACCAAAAATGAAAACTTGGGGGCCAGTTGGCCCCAAGATTTTTTTCTGAAAGTCGAGCACTGGCATATATAGGCTAAATTTAGCGGCCAAAAAGAATAAACAAAAACATGGAAAGAAGAACTGGTTTTCGCTTCGACGGTATCCACAAAAATATCAGTTATCCTAAAAAATTCACTGATAATACAGAAAAGAAAATTAAAGATGACTTATTTTTTATTAAAACAATAGGTTTGGGGGCCGCGGCGGTTTCACTGTTTCACGGAATTTTTCACGGGAACTTGAGTTCGATCTGCCACGTATAAAGGCCGATACACACGAGAGATTTTGCTCCCGGAGCATGCAAAGCTCCTCCGTGTGTACCAATGATTTCATGGGTCTACAGTGTACTTCATCCTCGGGAGCAGAATTCCCACCCCGCAAAATGCTCCACGATATTTAACCGGTTAAATATTTGGGAGCAAGCTCCCAGGGCAAATTGAGCAAACTTGAAAACTCTCCCTCGTGTGTACTGACATGAGCAAAATGAGCCTGGAGCATGCTCCGGGAGCAAAACCCCTTGTGTGTATCAGCCTTAAAACTCCGTCACATTATATTTCATGCCGCATTGATTCACCTTTTGAAAATTTATTTTCAAGTTTAGTATGACTTAGTAAAAAGCACGGTTTTCCTATGTTTGACCCAAAGATCTTAATGAACTTTACATAAACCTGCTGAAATTTTTAACTTTTCCCTCTTTAAAACCTAAACAATTCGGTGGCATTGCTCACGTTTCTGGTTTTAACTCTGAATGGCACGAAAACTTTCATGGGTTTCATAAGACAACATGCGGGTTTTTGTGGAACCCAAAAGCTAAAATTACCGAGTTTGGTGATCACCAGGCCAGTAAGATTCGCGTGCGTACAAAATACTTCCTCATCAGATGTACTCAGGCGACCAACTTGAGAGGCCTGGGCACCCCAGCTGGAATGGTTCGGGCTCCTCAAAATTTTTATTCAGGCGACCAACTTTGAGGTCTGGTTGCTTTAACTAAAATGCTTGAGAGCCTGAAAGGCTCCTTGAAATTTTCCTTAGAGCACAGCCTTGTTTTAACTGTCTTCAATAAATAAATTATTAATTTTGTTTTATTTTTGTCTTTTCAGAAGGACTGTTTTATATTTTTCATGGGTACATGTATATGTAGTCTTTGTATAAAATTTCCATCCTTACGTTATTCCATTGCAGTCATTCAACACTGTATTTCCCCTGAGGCTGAATTTAAAACCCTCTCCTAACTTTTCGGTTTGCTAAGTTGTACCCTGTACATGTATAAAGTTCCTTACAGGTGTTCTGTTTCAGTTAGTCAATATTTTTGTACAATATGCATACTGAATATTGACAGTAATGATTTAAATCTAAAATTAAGCTTTACTTTTGACAACTTCTTTTCCCATATATTATCTGAGCATACATTCAGCTATATTACCAGGCTAGCTTCAAAGTCAACTTATTATATTGATAAGGTTAGAGCTAATATTATGGCAAATTTAATATACACTTCTCTGGTCCTTCTGTTTAGAATAATCTGAATGAAAACCTTTGCATTTTTTAAGGTAAACGATGAAGTAAAATTTTTTATACTCTAAGATTTGATGCTGGCTAGCACTGTTGGTTTACACTAAGCTGAAAGTGCAAATAACAAGAGTTGTGTTTTTACACGTACACATGTAGCAAAAGTGAAAGCAGCTTTTGACATGGAGCATCAGATAGCAAAAGAGAGAAACAAACTCTCCTTACTCCTCCTTCTCCAAACCATAACTATATACCTTTTTATTAAAAGATAACTCCGTGTGAGGCTACTTTATCTCTTTATTTGTATTTGTACACTTTTTGTAACATTATGGGAATTTGTAAAACTGGTGTTACTGATAGAAATGTGTGGAGGTGTAGGGTGGGTGTGTAGATGTCTGTATTCTTGCTAAGTAGGCACTTGTGTTCACTGTTAATCTGTATAGTTGCCTTGTCTGTAATTTCTTACGGTGGCCCACAACTGTCACGGCAAAACCAAAAACCTCATGGCAAAAACAAAAACATCACAGCAAAACCAAAATACCTCACGGCAAAACCAAAAACCTCATGGCAAAAACAAAATACCTCACGTCAAACCCTAATACTTCACTGCAAGAACAAAATAGCTTTGGTTTTGCCATGGTATTTGCTTTTGCCGTGAGGTATTTTGTTTTTGCCGTGAAGTATTTGGTTTTGCCATTAGGTCTTTGGTTTTGCCGTGAGGGTTTTGGTTTTGTTGTGACGTATTTTGTTTTTGCCGTGAGGTTTTTGGGTTTGCCGTGAGGTTTTTGTTTTTGCCGTGAGGTTTTTGTTTTTGCCGTGAGGTTTTTGTTTTTGCCGTGAGGTTTTTGGTTTTTCTGTGAGGTTTTTGGTTTTGCCGTGACAGTTGTGGGCCACCGTAATTTCTGCATAATAAAAATGCAATAAGCAATATAACCTTGTACATGCACAGTTTACAGTAGTTATCTGGTACGATTTTCTTTTGTTCTATTTTCTGTTTTCTTTCTTTCTTTCTTTCTTTATTATTCTTCCAAAAGTAATTTATTTTGTCTTTCATGTGACAAAACCCTAGAGAAAGCAATTTGATTATTGTAACTTCTCTGCTTATTTAGCTGTTGCTATTCTGAGTAGTTTTTTGCATGATCTAGTTAATTTATTCTGTTCCTGTAAACTCTCTTAACTTGGCAAATGAAATGGTTGTTGATGTTAAAATCAAAAGTATTTTTATTAATAATTATATTTCATTAATTTTTGCTGCTAAAGTGTAATGTATTGGAACTGTAATCACACTTGCTATTGCCTGATTATTTACATTATGCTGTCTTTTACAGTACCCAAAGATGTATGATGACAAGGAACCAATTTTTAACTGCATTCAAAGGGCACATCTTAACACGTAAGTTGGACTTCCTAGTTAAGACATCAAATTGGGTGGGAACATACTGTTCACGGGAAAAGAGTTTATTTTATTTTGCCATGATAAATTATCATTCAAGGGCATTACAATATCTTATCTTCCTCTTAAATTTCTGCATACTTTTCTCAAGGGGATTTTATAAAAGACAATAAAATATGCGTTTCTCTGTCAGATCTCTCTACTGAGTGATAGAGAGGTCAATACATTAAGGCCGAGGTCTGATTTTTCCCTGTAATGACCAAGTGGACAAGGTTAAAAAGATATGGTCTTTTCATTATAGACCTGAGCCTGCAATCAACTTAAACCAACAACTGGTCAGCGGATAACTTTATAATAACACGTCACCTTAATGAGTTGTACACTAGAGCCGGTGATAGAGTCAGTGACACTGGTCAACTGATACCCTTTTTGACAGCTGTCAATTGACCACAACAAGGATGTTACTAAGGATGTCCACTATCAAGTTAAACACAGATTGTATATGCCTTGGACATCTAGCTAGCAATGCCTGGTGATTACAAGAAAACAGCCAATCAGAGCTGGCATACTTCTGTAGCGATATAATAAATACGGTTGAAGAGTGTATATGTACTGTACATGTATTATGTGGCTTATGACCGGTCTACCAATGGTAATTTTGTGTTCTTTTTTACTTTAGGGTTGAAATCTATCCCCAGTTCTTGTTTCTTCTGCTCCTTGGAGGCCTGGAACATCCAGTGAGTCAAGATAAAGCTATTCCTTGCTGCACTCCCTAATGTACATTTCTATTATTTGACAGAGTTCGCGAATAGGCCAAATTTGGCGCATTTTACGCCAAAATTGTTCAGATGACTCCACTGACCATTGGCTGAAAAATGAAGCACCGCCAATTAATTTTGATTGGTGACATTTCTTTCTTGGCTTGTCATAAGTTACAAACATGATGCTTCTGGTGAAAACTAAATGCATCGGCCATGGAGCAACACGTCCCTTCTAGTCAAGGATAGGAACATTGTAGATCCGACTCAGTTAGTAGCCAATAATCCAGACCAATTAAAAATTATCTTTTTTTAGTAGTCTAGTCTTTGTGCAAATTGTAATATTTTGCTCTTTTTGGAACACTAGCCTAACTGGCACATTTTGCCCGATGAGGGTAAGAACTGAAAAGCCACAAAGCAAACATACCATTATATTTAGAGTTACATGTACATTTATAATACATTAAATTTTTATTGTGCATCACAATAAATGGAGAATGTATTTCAAAAACATCTATAAAACACTTATGCGACTGGAACAACTGGAACAGAACAGAATGAAAGTCAGAAAGCTACAAGCCTAAATGTTAGCTACATATGTAGCTGTTTGCTCTGTCACTCCAAAACATTATGCCAAAATTGTTCAGCTGACTCCACTTTTTTTATCGGCCCAGCAAAATGGCCATACATTTCCTTATAAAAAACTCCAGTTAATACGACCAAAGGCCACATTTTAAAATCCCAAACAGTAGAATCTCTCCTAAGTTCACCCTGTTAATACAGCCACTTGTTCAAAATTTAGAAAATTAAGATACTTGTGATACGTCAGTTTTATTGACCTGTAGTACTCTGAGCCTGTTTTTGTACTGTTTTTAGACTACAGTACACATAAAGTGCACTTTCTGCGATTTTTTAGCCGTATTTTAAGAGTGTTTTAATAAATTAATAATAATATGTAGTGAAGGAAAATTTGAAGTAGTTTTTTTCAATTTTTGTATGCTGTATCTACATTCAGGTTGTTTATTAATGAGAACAGTTGTTCAAGAAATGCAAATGCAATATACGGTGTATTTGTCACAACAGCCCTCAAGTCACAAAATTTGAGCCTGCCCTGATAATACAGCCACCCTGTTAATACAGCCAAATGTTTTTGACCCATTGGTGGGGGGGTTCCACTGTATACCTTTATTTACACTGTAGGATAGAGTAATGGTTTTCTTTGGTTATTTCAGGTTGTATGCTCTGTAGCTGGTTTAGTGTGGATCATATCCAGGCTGTTCTATGCTCATGGATATTACACAGGGGGTATGTATTTAGTGTGCTAGATTCATTTAGATCGAGCATGTGCAGTCAGTCATCCATGCCTAATCTGCTCTGAGTGGTGGTTCATTGGAGCCAAAACCCAGTTATTCTTGAGTTACACACATTGCAGGCATAAGTAAAATAAAAAAATGAATAAGTTGCTAATTATCCTCTCCTCCTATGGGGCTTTTCAGGGATCATGAACCAATAATTTGGGGTGTAAGGGATGGCGCAGTGGTGAGAGCGCTCACTTCCCAACCAATTTGGCCCGCTTCCAAATTCCAAATCGACCAGGAGTAAGGTAGACATAGAACCACTTTGTGGACGTGCGACCTTCAAATCATTATTTTTATTTATTCATTTATTTAATTCAAATGGAACATAATATGGTTAAGAATCCCAACTGGTAGGAGGTGAACCAGTTGGCTATTTAAAGCATGGCTGAGGATTTGAACTCAGGGCCTTTGGATTACAAGTCCAGTGCTCTAACTGCTCGGCCACGCTGTGTCCTCTTTGTAAATGGTTGATAAAGTTTGCAGGACAAACATTTATTTAAAGTCTATCCCCTTAGATTGGAAAAGCAGAAATTAAGCTCCAAACTTTTAACCAATCTGGTGCTTAGTAGCCTGAGAAAACAGCCGACATTTCGTGATGCCACCACTGGTTTCCCTGTGTAATGATGCCTTAGAAGCAAAGATATAGAGGATATTACATGGCCACACGGAGATACGAAATTTCTCTTCAAGTGTTGAAGCGGCCATGTAATGTTCCATTTATTATATAAACTCCAATGAACTACCAAACCATTTCGCTCTAATAGGTGCTGGAATTTGTGGATGTTGTACAGTACTCTATGTCGAGGCTAACCCTGACCCCCTTTTTTTATGTTTGTATTCAGTGGTAATTTTTAATTCAAGACTAGACTCATTGGCTTAAGGGTTAAATTTTAGTTATTTTTATTTTTATTTTCTCAGATCCTAAAAAACGTATGCGAGGTAGTTTTGGTTACCTGGGACTTATAACCCTGCTGGGATGTACAGTGAAGTTTGGACTACGTTTACTGGGTGCTATTAGCACCTAAGCAGCAAGGCATCCTTACATGTTGGCCATCTCTCCATTAGGCCTTTCACTTAAGCTCAGTAGCTAAGCAATATCTCTTGTTGAATTCGGATCCTGTTTTTGCAGGAGAGCTCCTTTGTGAATCAGTGGGGAGAGGCTATTGTTTAGAAAACAAAAGTAACTTTGTTTAGTTGAATTTAGAAGCGATATTAGTATAGGTAATAGCATGATTCGTAGTGATATTTGGCATAAATACCACTAGTGATGTTTCGAAATTGTTATAAATTTGAGACAATTTTGAAATATCCCGAGTGGTATTTATGCCAAATATCACTACAAATCATGCTATTATTTGTTTATACCACTACCTGCAAAAGGTTTGTAATTTTCACATGTAGGTATTTCAAATTAAGCTGAAATACCACTGCTCTAAGCCAATCAAATTGCAGAAATTTCTCATGTAGTGATATTATATAGTGTACATGTAACTGTGAAAGGTTTGAACCCAGGAGTCATGTCATAAGTAGGTGAAGCATGATCATCTAGGTGAGTGTTGTCCTGAATTTGATTGCTGGCACTGTCATTCTGTACTACACTCACCCAACTGCTCGCTTTGGCTTAAGTTCTGGACTATAGAGTGTTTTCACTCACGTGGCCTGCAGTTATGCAAATTTCCTGGAACATAAGTAAAGTTTTTAGGTCAGAAAAATGTTCAACTCCCATAGGACTAGTTTTGACACCAATACAGCTGCTGTTTCGTTGTTTTTAAGACACCAATATGGCACACTGTATTGTCACGTGAAAGTGCTCTATACATCATGACAGGAAAAAAGAGAGTTACAGTCAAACCTCGCTTTACAGACACCTGCTTAACCCGTTAAGCCCCAATATCCACATACAAATTCTCCAAACCGATCTCTATACATTTCCTTTAAGAATTAGTTAAGAGAATTTGATAAAAGATCAAAGTATTTTCTCTTAGGTGATCATTTATTAATTCTCATAACCTCATCTCATGATGACGTATGGATATCGTTAGGAGAAAATTGCTGTTGGTCACTATTGGGACTTAAAGAGTTAATATAAAAGAAAGTCCTTACATTTTCTCCATGTTTAACCCTCTTTGTGCATACCCCATTAATATGGACACTTTCTAAGCCCCATCATTGTCGGTATTAACGGAGTTTGACTGTACTAAATTGTGCAGTAATGCCAAATTAACCATTGTGGTACACACATGAATCTGCTCCCACTTGCTCGTAGTAATCATTAAAAAAGGGAAACAAGATTGTGTAGTTCTTTACCAAAATGCAGTCAGTCAAACTGAAAATTAAAGAGGATTTCAAAACACCCCTGGCCTGGTCTTTGGTGTCATCATTTTGTAGTAATTTTATTATTATTCAGTTTCAGCCTTGGTTCAGATTTTACTTTTCTGTGAGTCAAGGGTAGAATTGAACCAGAAACACTTGAATAATGAATTCGCATCCTGCTCGACAAAGTTTCGTTCTTTTGTCTTTTCTTTTCTTTTTGTTTATTTGTTTCGACAGCTCTGTCGTGAGTTTCATAGGACGTCACCAGGGGATGAAATATCTTTTTAGTGGGTCAAATCTTTCTTAGATACCGTTTGGTGTGACTTTGGAACCTTTACTGGTTTTAGTGAATTCTAAGGGTGTTTCGCTCATAAGTAGAATATAGAATAGAAGGCAGCTAAAAAAGTGCTGGATAGCCTGCGTGTAGGCGTCACCTGTCTCCTTTGTTTCATGTGTGCATTCTCGTCCTCAGAGCCTCCTTTCTCCGCTCTTATCCGGCGAGGCCTGAGCTCGAGGATCTGCGGACGGAAATATCATCGCTCCTTGGGTCCATCCGCTTCTTGTCCTCTCTCGTTTAAGTAAGCTCCGCCACAGACGGAACTAGGGTAAATCTCATGAACAGTGCATTTGCTATTCGAAGCGCAACGCGAAATCCTGGGCCCCCATCCGTGTACCATTATTCGAGTACGCGCCGTGATTAACCTGTTGAAAAACCATTGTCAGTCTGCCTATCACGTTGAAGGAAAATTCGAAACGCATTTCTGCCAATTCGTTGATATCGGCGCTGGTCGGCAGACGTTGCTTACCTGAGTTAGATTACGTCTGCGACTTAGGGCAGCTCTAGACTTCGAGTTACAAGTACTACCTATTTTTTCCTCAGGGATAGTACAGCCAGCGAAACGTCAACGCGCGTGAAAATCACCCCACACAAGAAAGGCGAGACGCGGCGGAGAGAGAGAAAAATTTTTCTCTCTCGCCGCCGCGTCTCGTCTTTCTCGCGCGGGTTGATTTTCACGCGCGCTCGCGTGGGCATGGACAAAAAAAAAAAAGCGAGACAGAGAAATCCCTTGTGACTAGGCTGCCGGGCCATCATAGCTCAGCTTTGTCGACTACGTGAAGAGGTCGAAAGCAACTTTACATTTCAGGCCTGATTTGGTGTCGCAGTTGTGTTTTTTAACTTTATATTAGGGACGGACCATTAGAAAAGCTGTGGAGGAGGGGTTGGCCGGGGAAGTTCAAATTGAAAATATTAGAGCAAGGGAAAAAAAAAAGAAATCATGCACACGGTGTAGCCCCAGAGAAACATTCCAACACCGGCACAAGAAAATTCATGCAAGGGAAATGTTAACGTGCAACTTATATTAGGGGGCGGCACTTCCTTCATTTTGGACTTTGTCAACACATGCTACTTATGCTAACGAGTTTTGATCGCCAAAACCAAGGCAATTAACAATTGAGCCCAATTACAACACGCCCGATAATCAATCACGTTCACATCTCGAAGGAAACACGTGCAACCGGCACAAAGCGCGGCAAAGTTGTGTCAGGTTTCTAATTGGATGAGAAAACGGCGCGAGAGTTACCAGCCAATCAGAAAGCATGAAAGGGCAAGATTAAAGCTTTCTCGAAACTTTGAACTCTACATAGCAAACACAACATTTTCAGATCTCTTTATTCTAATGATCACGTTCTTGGATCTCACTAGTATCAGTTTTAACTTTACTATTAAGACATAACAAACTTAGGGAAAGTCTCATCCGATCGTTTTGATTCTCAGACTTTTATTTTAGAAAAGTTTCTCGAACGCGTTCTAGAAGTACCTGTAAGATATTATTTCTTGGTCGGTGGCTATTGTTTTCCATCACTTACTTTTCAAAAGGGTTTTACATATCAATTCTCATTTACTATCAAGCCGCCTCATAACACGTGCACAAAACAGGTCAAGCAGCGAACAAACAATTAGCTTAAATTTATCTGCCTTGTTTGGACAAACAATTAAAGAGAATGGGAAAATGCAAATGAATAGCTCTATTATCGTGATAGATAATACAAAACTCTGCTGACTTTGTTTGTCGCAAAGGAAAGACAATGGATCGGCAATACCGGCAGAAGAGATAAAAAGTTGATTAGCCCGTCTAAAAATTGATGTATTCAGCGCATAATGGGACTACAGGTTCCTGGTTACCATTGAAAGTTTTTGTTCAATTTTAAGGTTCTCAGTTGGTGCCTTTGGAATTGGCGCGCGTCTATGCAAACTGAGACGACATTTGGCGTCTGTGTAGAAAACATCACCTGTTACGCAGCTCAGGAATAAATTCAACAATGAATAGATATCTTTTTAATTATGTGTCGTTTAAAAGTGCTGAAATACGTACGAAGGACCATCTTTGTTGGTTAAAATACAGGCGCTTATCGATCAAAAAGCCAATTTTTCAAAAAGTGTTGTTGTGAGAATGATAGTTAGCTATCAAAAATTTCAAAGCATTCTTGAAAACACGCAGAATGATCTTCTTCAAATGTGGAAAATGGCCCTAAAAGATAGCAAATTTAATAGCCTCAGTAATTTGACTAACTGAAAATTCAAATAGTACGTTTTTATTGAACGACTTAAAAGTATTTTAGTAGTTGCTTATGATTGGGAGCTTAACGATAACGGAAACGTGTCTTCAACCGACGCAGCCTGTTCCAGGCTGTGAGATAGTCTGGTCCACGGGGATTGAGAAAGCGCGAACCGACAAAGCAAACACGTTTGTTTCACTCGTAGATTACAAATACGTCATTTTCTTCATTTTCAGGGATAGTACAGCGAGCAAAGTCGCGCAAGCGCGCGTGAAAATCGCTTGACACTCGTTTGATGGAGAGAAAAAGCTAAGCTAAGCTAAGGTGCGGTTCATTTGGCCTTAAGATTCCCGTCTCCGTTATAGGTAGCCTGCGTAGCAGGTGCTTCGAAGTAATATGCGAGAATTTGGAAAAAAGGGGCCAGCAAAGGAGACAATTTTACAGAACGCAACAATTTATTGTTTCAGTGTAACTTGGCACAATTTCGTGCCAGTCATCTGAATAATGTTAAGTTCAAATTACGATCATAATAAAGTTTGTGTTTAGGCCAGATAGTATATTTTATCGCTAGGGGCCGGGTGATTCTAACTTAGGAATATTTTTATCTTTTTTTAATGACGCTGTACATAATTCACTTTTTCTAGATCTTGTGATGTATAATTCATTTTTCATTTTGTTTTATATTATTTTCATTTTGAGTCATTTTGACCCTCTGGCTCGGATAATTGAGCAACCACTTCTTGCTCTTCGACATTAAATAAATTACCTTTTTCTCTTCCTCTGGTAATTTCAGGAAAGACTGGGGGAAGAGACTGAGCAAGTTTCTTCGCCCGGAATATAAATTTGCGTTACACTTGCCTTGTCTTTGCGGTCAGATTGCAGGGGCATCCAACGACTGTTTTCTGTAAAATATCTGTTCGAAGAAGCACGATTGCCAAAAATTTTCTATTGCTTGAATACGGCTAAAAATTTCTAGATGAGCGTTCCATTCAGGTACAAGTTTTCGAAGCTTATCTGAAAAATTCCCTACGATTTTCTGAAGTTTAATTAGTCATGTTTTACTCCTTATGTTAGACCAATTTTCGTAGAAAAAGGAATATTCCAAAAAGTGATGGAGAGAGAAGAAAAATTCTCACTTTCGTAAAACGTTCAA